GATAAAATATAAAACTATAAAACGTTTAGGAGAAAATCTTCAGGCTCTAGGGCTTGATGATGGATTCTTAGACCTGACATCAAAAATGATCAATTTTAAAAATTGATAAATTGGATTTCATCAAAATTTAAAATTTTGCTTTTCAAAGTGCCATGTTAAGGATTGAAAACAAAGCTGCTGACTGGGAGAAAATATTTGCAAACCACACATCTGAAAAGGGTTCGAAACTAGGATATCTCTCTCAAAATTCGACAGTTAGAAACAACAAAACAAGATGAAAAATTCCATGACAAGTGGGTAAATGTGGGAAAACTCAAACTGTTTTTCCTCTGCACTCATAACAGCAATAATCAACACAGAAGACTTCTGTGACCAAATGTTGGAGATTTCTTCCCATCAACAAGCAAGCAATCAATTCTGCAGCAGACACTCAGCTGGGTATCCTCAAGTCAATTTTAATCTGATGCTGTCTATTCTGAAGGTAACGTCAGATACCACAGGAGTGAGCACTGAGTCCCATGAGACTTCTCCCCACTTCCAATGCCAATTGCCAGGAATATGTTTCTGACTGACTGGCTATAAATCACAGATCTCATGACTTCCTCCTGGGGTTTAATTAATCTGTGTCACTATGTAGGCATGATTGATTTAATCATTCAATCAACTTAATCTTCAGGTCCCCTGATTGTCTTGGTCTTTCTGATGACCAGTCCCTATCCCAAAGCTACGTAGGGGCTCCCAACCATCAGTCAATTCATTAGGATACAAAAAGACATCTCTTTGGAGAGTCTAAGGACTTTAGGAGTTGTTTGGCAGTAAACAGAGTTGAAGACCAAATATATATTACACAATATCACAATGGGAGAAAGACATAAAGAGACATTTTACCAACAAGGATATATAGGTAGCAAATAAACACGTGAAATGATGCTTCCATCACTAACCATCAGGAAAATGCAAATTAAGATCCCAGTGAGATATTATTACTATGTACCTAACAGAACAGTTATTGTAAAACATAATGACAATACCAAATGCTGACTAGGATGTGGAGAAACTGCATATCTAATACATTGCAAGTGGGAATGTAAAATAATAGAGCCACTCTACAAAATAGGTTGGCAACTTCTTTAAAAGAACTAAGTATACACTTACTATACTACATGATCCAGCAATTGCGCTTCCATGCATTTGTCCCAGAAAAATGAAAATTTATGTACACACAAACACCTGTGCACAAATATTTACATCGGATTTATTTGTAACAGCAAAACACTGGAAACAACGGATGTAAGACAAATTTGTCTTACAAGTGAATGGTTAAACAAACTGTGTGCATCTACACAATGAAATACCACTCAGCAATAAAGTAAATTTTTTATATATGCAACGACTTGTAAGGTTCTCAAAGGCATTATGTTGAGTGAAAAAGTCAAACCCAAATGTTACATACTGTATGATTCTATTTCTATAACATTGTCAAAATTACGGCTATATAGAAGAGATGAGCATTTGCCAGAGACTTAGTATAGTGAGGGTGCATGTCAGTATAAAGAAGTAGCACTAGGGAGACATTTATGATTATGGAATTGTCTGTATTTTGACTATAGTGGTGATTCCACAAACATACACAGGAGAGGCTCAACATAGGCAAAAGCTGGGAATATCACCAGACTCCACTGGAAATAATGTTCAGCGGGGCACAATGGTTCATGTCTGTAATCCTAGCACTTTGGGAGGCAGAGGTGGGTGGATCACTTGAGGTCAGGAGTTTGAGACCAAACTGGCCAACATGGTGAAACCCCATCTCTACTGAAAATACAAAAATTAACCAGGCATGGTGGTGCACATCTGTAATCCCAGCTACTCGGGAGGCTGAGGCAGGACAATTGCTTGAATCCAGGGGGTGGAGGTTGCAGTGAGCCAAGATCATGCCATTGCACTCCAGCCTGGGTGACAGAGTGAGGCTCCATCTCAAAAAAAAAAAAAAAAGAAAGAAAGAAAAGAAAGAAAGAAATGATATTCAAATACTCATTACGATATAGACATTCATTCTTAATTTATTCCAAATTATAATATAATCATATTAAGGTGATGGGGAATAGAAAGTGTTCATGTGTGGCATTAAGTCAGCAATGACAGAGCATTATATTCCCATCTGCAATGGTGGGAAGTCAAAAATAATGCCTAATACCGAAAAAGGAAGAAGTGGCGATATGGAGCATGTTATACGAGATATGGCAGTAAGATCTAAGATCATCCATTAAAAGTTGAAAATAGTTGCTTCTGGGAGGTAGAATATGGTTGGATGTTAGGGAGACTCCAGTTTTCATATGTAGAACTTATTTAACTATTTGACTCAAATGTGTACATGTAACTTGATAAACACTAATTTAGATCATTAGATGAATATTATAAGAGTTACACGTAAAGGCCAGGTTCAGTGGCTCACACCTGTAATCCCAGCACTTTGGGAGGCCGAGGAGGGTGGATCACTGAAGGTCAGGAGTTCGAGACCAGCCTGGCAAACATGGTGGAACACTCTGTCTCTACAAAAATACAGAAATTAGCTGGCCGTGGTGGCATGCACCTGTAATCCCAGCTACTCAGAGGCTGAGACAGGAGAATCGCCTGAACTCTGGAGGCAGGTGTTGCCATGAGCTGAGATCATGCCGCTGCACTCCAGCCTGGGTGAGAGAGCAGCACTTGACTCAAAAAAAAAAAAAAAAAAAACAGTTATACGTGAAAGGAATATCCATACTATTAGCACTAGTAAAAGAATTTCATAAGCTTTCCAGCTGTAAGATTGATGTTCAAAACTCAATTGCAATCCTATTCAGTAGTCAAAAAACACTGAAAAAACTAATAAATTTTTAAGATTCCATAAACTAGAAAACATTAAGGGCAGCTCTAACTGACGATGCATACAACCATTATGGAGAAAAAAACTGCAAAATTGTAAGCTGAACTTCATAAAATAAAACCTAAATAAATAGAGGTATACCACGTCCATAAATGGAAGACTCAACACTGAAAAACATGTAAATTTCTCCAAAATAACATATGAATTCCATGGAATCAAATAATAAATCTAAAAGTATTTTTCATGAAACTTGACAAAGTGAGTCTAACATTCATTTTGGTCAAGAATAGTTACAACAATTTTGGATAAGGAATGGTGAGACGCTTTGCCCAAAAGATGTCAAAACACACGGCAGAGCTATGCTAAGACAGGTACAAGCATACCTCGGTGGTATGCAGGGGAATGTGGTGGCTAGTTCGATCATCTATTGAGAGCACTAAAGCTTTCTCCATATCAGCAATAAGGCTGTGTTGCTTTCTTACCATTCTTGTGCTCACTGGAGTAGTATTTTTAATTTCCTTCAAAAACTTTTCCTTTGCATTCACAACTGGCTGAGTGTTTGGTGCAAGAGGGCTAGCTTTCAGCCTGTCTCAGCTTTGGGCAAACCTTTTTTACTAAGCTTCATGTTCAGATGTGATTTAAAGTGAGAGATTTGCAACTTTCGCTTTCACTTGAGCACTAAGAGGCCATTGCAGGGTTATTAATGGGCTTAATTTCAGGCCAATGTGTCTCCCTATCTTAGGGAAAATAGGGAGGCCTGAGGAGAGGGAGCAATATGGGGGAACGGCCAGTAGGTGGAGCAGTCGGAACACGAAAGACATTTTTCCAAGTGTGCTGTTTCGTATGGGCATGGTACGTGGATCCCCAAAACCAATACAATAATATCATCAGAGATCACTAATCACGGATCACCGTAACAGATATAGAATTTGAAATATTGCAAGAATTACCAAAATGTGACAGAGACACGGAGTGGGGATATGCTATTGGGAACGGCACCAATAGACTTGCTTCACGCAGGGTTGCCGCAAACTGTCAATTTGTGAAAAACGCAGTATCTGTGAGGTGCAGCAAAGTGAAGCACAGTTTAATTTGCCTGTATTGACAGAGAGCTAGACAAGCAGATCAGCGGAACAAAGAGCTCATCAAAGCAACCACAGATTTATAGACACTCACTGTACGGCAAAGGTGGTGTGCATATCAGGTAGTGCTGGATAATTGATCCTTCTAGAAAAAAGATAAGATTCCCACCACCTATTAAAAAAAATAAGATTCCTACCATCCATAATGCATACACACACGTGCGCACACACACCACCAGGAAAATATAGTGAGATGTGGTGGTGAGCATCTGTAATCCCAGCTCCTTGGGAGGCTGAGAGAAGAGAGTTGCTGGAACCCAGGAGGCGGAGGCTGCAGTGAGCCAAGATCGCACCACTGTACTCCAGCCTGGGCGATGGAGTGAGACTCCATCTTGGAAGAGCTTTTTCCAAGTTTTCTTCTTTTTATAGTTCCAAATCTTACATTTAAGTCTTAAAAAGATAAATTTAATAAAAATGCACAAGGTTTATAAAGCTGTTTGTAAATGACATAAAAGACAACAGGAAAAAAATACAGAAGTATACAGCGATCCTGAAAAAGCCAACATTGATACCACTGTATGTATGGTAGAGGAATACTCCGGCAGTGTACATCCAATTCCCTCTCCCAACCTTGGTGCCGTTGCTCCATGTATTGTATGATATTGATACATTATCATCATACCCACATTGCCTTATTATTTTTAGCTTTAAACATTCACTTACCATTTACAGAGTTTCATTTAAATGTCTTTTAAATTTATGCATCTATTTACTTTTTCTGTTCTTCATTCTTTTGTATGGATCCAGATTTACACCTGGTGTCATTTTCTTTGTGCCTGCAGGGTGTCTGCTAATATTTCTTACCATTCAAGTCTGTTGGTGATTATTTTTTTTTATTTTGTTTGATTTTAAATTATGTTAATATTGGAATAGAAGGAAGGAAAACTTAACTCTTTAACTTACTAAAAGATAACTATTTAAAAAATGCAATAAACATTCAAAAAAATTATATATATATATAGTGAGATGAAAGGCATAGACGGAAAGAGTAAAACTTGAGCAACAATTAGAAACTTGTTTTTATATAACAAAAGCTCCCAAATCATACCAGTACTGCAGCTTTGTGAGCCAAGCTAGAGGAACAAGAGGAAGTCTCCCACACATGCCCAAGGAAACAAATATAAGAATGTTTGTGAAAGTTGTACTAGCAAAACACTGAATGAAGCTTCAACATCATGAGAAGAATTGATAAATTGTAGCATAATCTTACAATAGAAGACCACAGAATAGTGGAAAATTAAAATGTGACTTCATATATCAACAGGAATAAACCTCTCAAACTGTGTTAAGCATAAAAAATAAAGTTCTAAAAAATAAAGTTCTAAAATGCATTTATATAATGTTAAAAATATGAAAACTAATCCTATACATTGATAAAGATTTACACATATGTTATAAAGGTATAAAATCATGCCTGAGAATGATAAACACCAAATTCAGAACAGCATTTTTTTTTTTTTTAAGAAAAGAACTGAAGAACACGATGGCAAAATGTTAATATTTTACAAAGTAGGTCCATGAGTATTGTTTGTATTTTTTTGTACATTTCAGAAGACAAAAATGCTTATGCAACTTGCCAGTGATTTCAAAATACATGTGTGTTCAAATGAAATCATACTTTCAAAAGCCCTACTCAAAAGTAAAAATTGCTCTGAAAATTAAGGATTGTTCATGACCAGGGGTAGAATGGAAACTTCTTTTCTTGATCAGTTTGATTCTCTTGGGTAGGAGCAGGGCCAATTTGAAACTCAGTACATCGGAATCAAGACATCCCTGGAGTCCTCATGAAGAAAATCCGTCCCTGACTCAGCTCCAAAAGTCTGAGGGAAGGAACACCGGGAGGGTGTGCAGAAGGGAGCGTGTCCATGATGGGGGTGGCAGGGACGAACTGAAGGGTCATTAGTCACCTATAAGTCCCTGCAGCTTCTCCCCACTTGAAGCCCTTGGAGAGGGCTGGAGGTTAATGTTTCTGCATGCAGGAGCTGTAAAGAAAAATAATTGTTCATTCACCTTTGTTTATTCATGTATTAATTTCACAAATATTTATTGAGCACCTACTATATGGCAGGTATTCTGCTTGGTCTGGATTCATGGCACAGATCAGAAATAAAGCCCCTACTCATTACACCCCAACACCACTTTTTGGGTTCTAAACTCCCTCCCATAACCACATTCATCTTTGCCGCTAGTCAGAACCTCCAAGTCCCGTGAATAGGTTCTATTCATTGATTTTAGCAATACTTTCCTAATGCGTCCCCAAAATATATCATATGAAAACAGAAACATATAACAGTGTATTAGGGGACTCTGGAGTTTGGGTCTCAACAGTCATACCACTCCCACACCTTGGATTCCCCTGCCTCCATCTCCAGGGTCCCAGAAAATGGAATTTGAAACCCTTCCACCTCCAGGGCACTACACAATGCACAGAGCTGAAAGACTCTGGGAATTCCAAAAAACATTTGGAGAAAATAAAGGGTGTTCCCAAACTTCCTTTGAGGTTTGAGGGTACCCTTGAGGGCACCTGTGACGTTGTGGGCTTGCCCTATAGGCCTCTTGCCAACCTGTCACCCAGTCCCAAAGACTAAGGCCCATCCTATGTTCACCTGTCACAGGTTCCACCTCCTGCAGATGTAGGTCACTGTGAAACTCATCACCAGCAGCACCTTGAGGCCCAAGAGGAAAACCACAAAGATAACGGCAGGCATCTCTGGACCTAAATGCCAAGGGGTAGAAGGAGCCATCACATGGGGGCTCTGTGAGTTTAAATGCCCTCTCTGAGGTCATGTAGCCAAGAAGTTCCAGAGCCTGCAGGTTGCATTCGATTCTGATTCCAAATCCATGTCTTTTCTCTATATTTAGTTCTGTCTTGGAAATAAGAGATGACCTTGATCTGAAAGCCTCACCTTGAATTTGGCTCAACAAATGCTGATTTGAATATCTGACACACACTAGCCACTGTGCAAAGCTTTAGAGGTACAAACCCAAGTAATCATATAATCACCTCCATGTCCCAAAGGCCTGTGGTTATTTAAGATAACTTTGCCACAATCTTAAGAGTTTGGTATCATTAGCACCATTTTCTAGATGAGTAAACTGAGGTTATGGGAAGATAATTAACTCAGCTGCCTAAGTTTACAAAGCCGTAACTACTGGAAACCAAATTTTACAATAATCGTACCTGAATTCAAATAGTAGTATCAATAGTTGACATTTATTATAGACCATATGTAAAGTTTACATGTGTTAATTTATTTAATCTTCATAAAGACTATGAATTAGGAAACTTTATTAGACACTATCCACAGATGAGCAGACTGAAGCACACAGAGGTGCAGTGTCTGTGCAAGAATCAAGCGGAAGAGCCTATATCGCTGGAGCAGACATCATGCAAGTACGTTTTATGTACAGGCAAGCTCACCTCCATATTACTGAAACAAATATTTTAAACAAGAGAGCCTTGCTGACAGCCATCTCAGAAGCACCAGTAGTAAGTGAGTGCACTAAGCTGAACCCTCTCTTGGGAACTTTGAAGGAGATTGAGCCAGACGATCACTCTTTCCACAGAAATTAAAGAACGTTTAGGATGGACAGATTTAAAGGAATCCACTGGCCAGAAACCATTCTGGTTATTTAAGGAATCACAGACTCTCAAGTGGGTAAGATCTCATTGATTATCAAGCTCCCCCTCCTTCCAGTACCTTCTGAAACCCACTAAGGATACAGGAGTGACCCCAGGAACTCATAGAAGAAGAGGTGAACTTACCTGTGCTCCCAATGAGCTTACATGTGGTGTGGGCTGTTGTGGACAGTATGAGGTTGGCCCGTTTGGGAAGCTGTCCCTCATGTTCCACCATGCAGGTGAGCACCCGCTCAAGCCCCTGCACTGATGCATTCACCAGCAGCACATTTTCCACGGTGTAGGACCCATCATCCTTCTTCTTGGATGTGGGTTGCTCAGTGTCTTTGAGTGTACGGCAGTCCTCTAGCCAGGTAAGATGCACGTTTTGTGGGTAGAATCTCTGCACGAGGCAAGTAACAGCCACCAAGCTGGAGGAGGTGGAAGACTGGGACACTGTCACTGCAGGGGGAACTGATAAAGCCGAGAGAAAGCAAACAATTATTGTGGGAAGCCATCTGTAGGTGCTTGGGAGCTCCTTCATGATGGAGTCATCTGCCTAGGGCATAACCAGAGCCTGCCACAGAGGAATACTAAGGTATTGGTTAACAAATGCACACATAAAGAAATGCATGATTGAATAACAGCACAAATTCATGAGTGAATGCATGCTTGGATGGATGGATGGATGCATGCTTGGATGAATGGATGGATGGATGGATGCATGCTTGGATGAATGGATGGATGCATGGATGGATGGACAGATGCATGCATGGATGGATGGATGCATGGATGGATAGATGGATGGGTGGATGAAAGCCATCTAATCTTTCTTTTCTTTTTCACTTTAGCCATTGAAGATAAAAAGATGAGGTATGATTGCCAGTGAAGAAGCTACAAATCATTTAACTCACTCTACGACTAGATAATTTAAGGATTTGAAGATTCATAGATTCTAAGTCTTAGAATCCAAGATATTAAGATTTTCCATAGGAAGGAACTTCAGATTAGAGAGGTCAAGTAACTTGCCCAAGGTCACAAGTAGCAAAGCTGGGATTATACCAGAGACAGTAGGTTTTACCTTTATGCCATTCTAACACCCAAACTATAAGGCTATAAGCATTTATGATTCCAGGCTTCCAAAATTATGATCTAATAACTTCTAGAATATTTTTCAGCCAGATATTCAGCTATTCAATAGAATGTATTCACAATAAGGAAAATTGGACAAATTTGAAATCCTACAAAACACTAAATTATTTAGTAGACTTCTTATGAACACACAACATGGTGCAGCTCTAACACTAAACTGAGGGCTGGGAGATCTGGCTTCTGGTCCTTGCTCTGATACTACAGCCAACTGCAAGATCTGATGCAAACCGCTTTCCCTCTGTTTCTAAGACTCTAAAACTATGAAAGTCTCTGAGGTCAGATCAGCTCTCATGGGTCTAGTTAAGAGAGATTTCAGCTCTTGATCTAGGGTAGAGGAAGCAACTCTTTCAGTAGTGCAATGTGAAGGAGTTACAAGAATCCAACTCCCAAATATTCTTTTCTCACCCTCAACCTGCCCAGACTTGTAAAATTCTATCAATGATGTTGCTAGTGGCAGCTGAGGCCAACACACTCCATGAGCTTATTGCCTGTACTTAGTCTTTCTTCGTCAGCACACAGGGAGAGCACAGGGATCTCACCACGCAAAGAGCAAGGCCTGAGAACGGAGGACTCCAGGTGCTGAAGGCCTGGCAACTGGGGTGGTGCCCACGGAGAACAGGGCAGGGTAAGTTGCCCCCAAGCAATTGTCATGGGTTCTAGGTGGCAAGGACAAAAAATAACAAATAAAAAGGATAAGAGGCTGAGACAGCCCATTTCAACCACCAGTGAGTTTTCCTGGCTATGTGGTGTCGGGGCCAGTGTTGGGAGGACAAAGGCCTGAGCACAGCTACTGACAGCTGCTCCCATCCACCGAATGTCAATGTTTGAGGTGGTGTGCATGCATTTTCTCATTTAATTCTCACGAAACCAAATAAGGTAAACGCTGAAGCTTCTTGGTATAGAAAAAAAAAAAGTGCCACTTGGAGCCTATACAAGATCAGCCCTCTATTTCATAGAGATTGTAAAAAAGGAATTGGTTGGAACTTCATCTTGAAAAGCATTTCTATTTAAAAATATTTAAATATATTCTATATTTATATTTGTATATAAATATAGAATATAATTGCAGAGAGGCACCAACTCTTAGAATAATAAGTGTTGGGAGTGGACAGAAGCTGGCATCATTTTTTCCTGAGAATTTATACTATAGTACCAACAAATTCTTCATTTCAAATCTCACATTTATAGCACAATCATTAAAACATAATTTTGAAAAATTATTTGAAATTATTTGAGGAATCGCAACACTGTCTTCCACAATGGTTGAACTAATTTACACTCCCACCAACAGTGTAAAAGCGTTCTTATTTCTGCACAGGATCACTAGCATCTGTCATCAATCTGGAAGATGTCCAGATTCCAGGAAGGTATCTGTCACCGGTCTACAGATGAAAGAAGCGAGCTCTGAGAAGTGCTGTGAAGAATAATAATAATAATTAACAACCACAGTGGCCACTTCTGAGTAGTTAGTATGAGCAAGGCACCGTGTAAAGTAAGCACTTTACAGGTGTTATTTCACTACGTTCTTGCCTAAATCAAATGAGGGATGTGCTTGCTTATCATCGGGGCTTCTTCCTCATTTTTCATTGAGGAAACTGAGGCTCAGTGAAGTCCCCACCCAAACTCTGCACTACCTCAGCTTAGCAGAGAGAAAGATCTTACCCCGGAGGTACTGGTCCAGGTCAATGGTTTTCTGGAAAAACGGCATCAACTTGTGCTCGACATAGCAAACGACATGGGAGAGCACATCATCCTCTGTCAGCGGGACGAGCACACTGCTGGTCACATTGTAGGTGCGTCCACTGCGGCGGATGCTGGTCTGGGGCTTTGGGAGCTTGTGTTTGTTTTTAAGCCAGGTCACAGTAACCTGGTTTGTCGAGAAGCCAGAGGATGTGTAGGTCAATCGGATCCTTGTGCCAGGTTCAGATCGCTGAAGGGGTCCTTGCAACTTGTGAGGCTGAGGCTGGGCATGCCTGCCTGCAAGGATAGACCCCTCCCATGAGAGCACACAGAGGTGCCTGAATCGCAGCATAAACAAACCCACAGCATCTGCCAAGAAGCCCATTGCTTCCTCTTTTATAAGATTGGAAGGTTATGTTCTGATAGGAACCAGTTTCTGAATCTGATGTCAGAGGACAGACAATGAACCTGTAGCAATGGGCAACAGCAGTTTCAACTCCTATGGACACTGCATAGTGAACACCCACATGGCACTCACCTTGCCTACAGGCTCTTCCCTAATTCACGGAGTTCTCACAGCAGCCCTCAGAAGTGGGAGCTGTTACTATCCCCATTTCACAGATGAGGAAACTGAGGCCCAGGCAGGATAAATAATTTGTCTAAGATCCACTAGTCAGTGGCAGAGCTAGGGATCTTACAGGCAGTCAGGCTCCACAGTCTGTGCCCCTGACTGTCACCCAGCCCTACCCTCAGTGTTTGAAAATGGAAGAGAACCTCCCTTCTCAGAGGCCGGGCCATGGAGAAGAGGTTAGAACCATAGAGAAGAGATTAGGAGCATAGACTTTGGGATCTCACTCAACTCAAGTTTACATTTCCAACTCTCCACTGGAGCCCAAGCAACTTAACTCTCTAAGCCTCAGTTTTCTCATCTGTAAAATGGGAATGCTTTTTTTTTTTTAATAGAAAAATGGTTTAAATTTTATAATAATTGTTCATCCCATTTTTATATCTGGAGTATAATTAAATTCAGACTTCCCTTGTTTATTTAGCCATTAGGTTTGATGAAATACATTTTTCTTTTCTTTTTTTAATTTTATTTTACTTTAAGTTCTGGGATACATGCATAGAATGTGCAGGTTTGTTACATAGGTAAACGCGTGCCACAGTGGTTTGCTGCACACCTGTCAAACCGTCACCTAGGTAGTAAGCCCTGCATGCATTCCTACTGGTCCTGATGCTCTCCTTGCCCTCGCCTGCTGCAACAGGCCTTGGCGTGTGTTCTTACTGTGCGGCTCCCACTTGTGAATGAGAACAGATTTGATTTTCTCTTCCTGTATTAGCTGCTGAGGATAATGGCTTCCAGCTTTATCCATGTCCCTGCAAAGGACACAATCTCATTCGTTTTTATGGCTGCATAGTATGCCATGGTGTATATGTACCACATTTTATTTATCCAGTATATTCACGATGGGCATTTGTGTTGATTCCACGTCAAGGAATTAATTTTACTGCTTTGCTATTGAGAGTACTGCTGTAATGAACATACCAATGTGTGTGTCTTTGTAATAGAATGATTCATATTCCTTTGGGTATGTACCCAGTGATGAGATTGCTGGGTCAAATGATATTTTTAGTTCTAGATCCTTGAGGAACAATGTAAAAGTGTTCCTATTTCTCCACAGCCTTGCCAGCCTCTTTAATTTCTTGACTTTTTAATACTCGCCATTCTGACTGGTGTGAGGTGGCATCTCACTGTGGTTTTGATTTGCATTTCTTTCAGAGTTAATTAATAAATTAAGGGATGTAACTAGTGTAGATATGTGGCACACAGTAATCACCATATAAATGGTAACTATCAGCATCACAAGCTCACGATGACCTTCCAAGGAATTATTCTTAATCATATTTCTAATATTAACAGATTTTAAAAAAAAAAAAGGCTCAGAGAGGGTTACTGACTCATCCGAGGGCCTCACAATGAACAGAACTGACATTGTGACTCAGGAGTTCTGACTCCAAGTCAAGGCCTTTTTCTGTCACATCACAGCTGCCTCTCCTTCTGCACAGTTGGCTCTATAATAATCAATGACCTTCAATATTGTCCTACTTGCAGCTCAGCTCTGGCCTAGGCACTATGGAGACTGCGTGTAGTCATTGCAGAGAACTTGCATTGTCCAGATGCCAGGCAGGAGTCAAGGAAAGGAATCCTAAGCAGAGCTCTTTGAGGTGAGTGTAACAATTGTCATTGCACCGACGGGGAACTTGACCCAGAAAAAGAGTTGCAGCTGGGCACAGTAGCTCACATCTGTAATCCCAGCACTTTGGGAAGCTGAGGCAGGTGGATCACCTGAAGTCAGGAGTTCGAGACCAGACGGACCAACATGGTGAAAACCCGTCTCTACTAAAAATACAGAATTAGCCGGGAGTGGTGGTACACGCCTGTAATCCCAGCTACTTGGGAGGCTGAAGCAGGAGAATCACTTGAACCTGGGAGGCAGAGATTGCAGTGGGCTGAAATCACACCACTGCACTCCAGCCTGGGCAACAAGAGCAAAACTCCATCTCAAAAAAGGAAAAGGAGTTGTTTTGTCTTAGGTCACATGGCTGGGGACACTGATCTGTTTGACTCCAAAGTTTGGCCACCTTGAAACATAAGAGCCAGTCCCTGCTTCAAGGATGTGTGTGTGTAATTGTGGAAGACTGGTGTAAACGGAATAAAAGCCTGGGTCGGGGGATTCTCAGAATGCCCTTGTGTTTTAAGTACTAGTTGTGAGAACTAAATGGTGTGGCCAGATAAGACTACACAATCCAGGAAGAAATAAATGTCAAGAATAGAGCATTTAAAATTGAGAATGGAGCAGAGACTTGAGATAACACTAAGCTTTGTGTTCTCAGGCAGGATAGGAAAGAAAAATGCAGAAAAACACATTGAATTTTTGAACAGGCATGCCTTCATTTTAACCCCAGCTCTGCTGTTGGGGACCTCTGAAAGCTGGCTCCCTGTGCTAGCTCTGGGCTCTGTTGTAGGATCAGATAACATATCTGAGGATGCCTAGTGTGCAGTATATGCTCAGTGGGTGTCAGCCAGCAGGAACGGAGACGGCGTGGGAAGTGCATAAGAGCTGGAGCTGATGAAGGCTTTTATGGGCCAGGTTAGGGAAGGATAGCTGCACCGCTTTGTTAACACCACATAGAAAGGGGCCTAAATGCCAGAAAAGGAAGGGGCTGCCCTTCCCCCTGCAGATCATGGGGCCCCACAAAGCTACATAGGGGAGCTGCATAATCGAAGGGATGCTCCCAGGAGGTTAATCTTGCAGCAGTGGGCCAGATATACGGTATGCAGGCAAAAGAGGACAGTAAGAGACGTAAACCTCAGCATGAGTCAATAAAGAAATATTGTAACTTGCTTCTGATCAGAAAGGACCAGTTTAGAGTTTTTCAGCCAGACCTGTACATCCTGCTGGGTGAGTGTTTTTCTTATTTCTGCTGGACAACAGAAATACACACACACAAAAAAGCATGGGGAAATTGAAAGCTGAGTGGGATCATTCCCCCTGAGAATTCTGACAGCAGCCAGATAGAGGCCAGTTGTATCAGGGAGAGAGAGAATGGGGCTGGAGCACCCTGGTGTGAATGCAGATGGGCTGTTATTGCGGGTCCGGCACCCGTGCACCCTTGCCCTGGCAGGGGCCTGTGTGTAACACTGCTGCACGGAGGCATACACCCTCAGTGCCCGCACGGGACCGTCCTTTCCCGCTTCATGTGGATCTGGAGAGCTGTGAGTCTATATGCTGGCTTACCCCCAGCTCGCCAGGCCCAGCCAATCCTAGTAACCCCCACCCACCCTCTCGGACCCTGTCTGCCCCCACCATCCAGCCAGCCCCCTCTGGGCCAGTAACTCATTCTCCCAAGCTGATCCAAGCTGGACCAAAGGAAAGCAGACCGCTCTCTTTGGGTCTGAATTGCCGGCAGACGGCTCCCTCTTGTGGAGAAAATCGTGTGAGGACACACACACACACACACACACACACACACACACACACACACACAG